TTCAGAAGAAATATGAAATATATATGGTAAGTTCCGGTTACAGAGCTGGTGTGGCAGAATTTTTTGAATTTATTCACACATCGAGCAACAAAATCTAGAAATGTCAAAACTTTTAGAATTTAGAACAGGCATTGGAAGCAAAATTTACAAAGGCACCAAGCAGCCCAATTTAGTGTGTATGATGCATTAAGACATATTAGATAAATCGTTTAAATTGTCAGTTTTCAATTTCTTTACTAATAAAAAGAATTATTTTCTATAATGCCTGTCCATATGATAAGATTAGAAGCATTTTTGATATTTTATGCTTGTGCCTAGTGAAAAATAAAGAAAATAAAGGGAAGATAAAAATATTAAGAAAAGGATTCTAGTATCAGAACTAAAACATTCAACTATTATGTTTTTATTGCTCTTCCAGATGTTCTCCAAAAAGTAAGAAATTATGTATTAACACCATGGAGACATTTTTCATTTTGCCACATTTTTCTGGAATCTTCAAGGTCTATAAATCTTGCCTTCAAATCTTTCTAAAACTTTCCAAGCTGCAATGTCTAAAATCCTAAAGAAAAATTACCCCTGCCAATTCAGTAACAGCAAAAAGCCAGAAAAAAAATTTTCAAATTCAAAAAAAAATTTTTTTTTTAAAAAATCGGATAAAAAATGTGTAAAATTAATTTTATAGAGAAAACTGATACATATTGAGACAATTACATGAGGAAACTCTTACCAGGAAAAAATTAAAAAGAAAAATTTAATTAATTACATAGCTATTTTGCTTTTGCTAAGAACCATTTCGTAAATTGTGCTTTATAGCATTATACCTTGCTTATTTTTCAGATTCAAAATATTGTATAAAAAGTGGGTAAAATGGAACTTTATAATACGACAACAAAAAATAAAAATGCTTTATTTTAATGTTATTCCTTAAATGTAATTACTATACAAATAAATGTAATTGTTATTTTAATGAATGTAATTATTATTTTAATGAAACTTATCAATGTTACAATTAAAAATCGTCGAAAAATTCCCAGATCTTGGAATTAAAAATTTTCTATAGAAACTGATCTTGAAATCGCCAATGTTGATACGTCACTAAATTTAGAGCAATTTAATAAAAGAATTCACATCCCCAAAAGCGAAATGTTGTTTAAGAGCTCTTCACTAGAAAAAATGAAATAATTTCGAAAACTTTATGTTTCACACTTGCTCAGAAACTCTATCCACCCTTTATATTAGAAATAGGAACAAATTATAACCCATGAACGCATTCACCCATTCAAAAGATAATGATATTTGTCAGAGAATTACCAAAAATATTCCTCCAAAATGCTAATTCACACTCAAAATGGCAGTCATAAAAACAGTCAGAAATCTCAGATGATTAAAAATTAAGGACCATTTGATGATTTTGGCCGAAATTAAGGACTTTTAAGGACTAAAAATCGATTCTAAAAAACTTAAGGACTTTTAAGGACTCTTAAGGATCATATGAACCCTGATTTGACTTATTTATACACCAAATGTAGTATTCATTTAATGCACTGCCAAATGCATATATGTGTATACATACAATATAATTTCCCTTATATATAGTATTGATTTATGTTATAAGAATATTCACATGTAATACTGTGCTATTCAAAATATATATAGAAAATAATATGTACTGAATAACAGACATTGTATGCCAATGTAACTAATTTCCGCAGAAATGACGTTCAATTCCGTACGGCAAGAACTAGACGGATGTCATCTTCGCGGTGTATAGTGTTCAGCCACATTACCGCTCGGCTGCTGGTGGGCGCCCACAAATAAAAGAAAAGCTATATTTGCGCATGTACATTGCAGGATTCATTATTAGGCAAAGATGCTGAAAGAGAAAAGGGCTTGCTTAGAGAGATACCAACATTCCGCCTGACGCTGAAATACTAATATCATGGTTCATCATGAATTCTTTTGAGGTAAATCACCAATGTTCCAGTGGAAGGTGCACTTAAATGCATGAAAACGAGATTAAACGATGAGTTAATTTTCCTCACTCAACTCTGTCTGCAACAAATAAATTTTGTTTTCCAAAATAAGTATTACAAGCAAACTCAGAGATTAGCCATGTGAAGCCATCTTACTCTTATTCTTGCTAATATCTATATGCATTATTATCAATCAAAATTATTTGAAAATTTAAACTTCTCTATGTGGTTTTGCTATATTGATGATACCTTTAATCTGTTTGATGGGAATCAAGACAATTTAAGTAAGCTTCTCTCAATAATGAATTCCACTGATCCTGTTTTCCACTGATCCACTGATCAGTTTACTTCTGAACTTGAGACATACAATTCTCTTCCATTTCTCAATATCTTAGTCACATACAACATATCCAAACTGAATACTAGTTTTTACCATAAGCTTTTATCTGCTTGCCTTCCACCATACTTCAAATCATCTTCCACCATACTTCAAATCATGTCATTCCACTAAAGAGAAGCTAGCTTCATTTGATATCTTCGTTTTCTGTGCACTTCAAGTTTGCTCCTTCAAATTAGCCTTTGATCAAGATTTAAATTACTTAAAAGCAGTTGCTATTGATAGAGGCTTCACCTAACATTATTGACCAAGTTATTAAAAAATTTTCAACACACCAAAAAGCCCCCTCTTGTTTTAGAATATTACAAGAATCCTGTTATCATTCCTTTCTTTCTATTGATTAGTGATAAAAGCATGCACATTTTACAGAAATTCAACTTTCCGGTCCCATTCTCATCTGTCAATAAAATTCGCACCTCTATACTTAAGGACCCCATTCCAGATATGAACTCCTGGGGTCTATACAGGATTGCTTACCAACGTGCTTAAGTTACATTGAGCAAACTAAGAAAGCTTTCACTATGCACTAAGGAGCATGAAGTACAAGTTAGGAAAAAAGAAACAATTCTCTGTTGCCCAACACTGTTGGTCAGAGAAACACGTTTTCCATTTTCTGCAGTCAAAATTACTCAAAAAAATCTTCCGTATGTGAATTAGATTTTTAAGAGTAGTTTCACATTCATAAAAATCTTTCAGTTCTACTTATCCCAATTCCAATATCTCTTTACCCTGAGCTTTTAAGAAAATTATTGCATAGTTGTTTTCATTTTTGATCCATAGAGGGCGGCAGTAGTGCAAATTCCTTCCTCTCATTCTTATCGCTGGCTTCTCTTTACTTATTTACATTTCTGCAGTTATGTTCTACATTTAAACTTTTGAAATTAGTCCTGGAAATTTCTGAATATTACGCTTTTTTTTTTATTGCTTTATCCTGTAATAATACAGGGCGTTGTTGTCCTTCTTTCTTTTGATATGTAGTGCGTATTTTCATGAAATTTATTTTCGTGATATAATTATGTAGAACTAATAAAGATGCTTATACTAAGTCGTGAATCTTTCTTCATTTTTTTCAGCTTGTTATACAAAACGTTCCTGTTTTCTTATTCTTTTAATAAACCTAGAAATCACTCTTTTTCTAATCTGCTAGTTATATAAATGAATATTGTTGGAAAATAACATATGCAAAAAAAGATAATAAATGCTATTTAATTACAGAGCTTTAGGAGGATTTTTAAATAATGCTGCCACTCAAGAGCATATATTCTTTCACTTAAATGTGATACCAGGCATGTGCAGAAAGTAGCTTTGTTTCATTCTCTGCCCCCCCCCACAGTGTTCTAACAGAGCTCCGAGCATAAGCGATATTCAATTTGTAATTCATTTTTTTAATGCAAGGAACATGAAGCCTGCTGAAATTCATCATGAAATTACCAAGATTTATACCAAAAGAGCAATGAGCATTAGCACGGTAAGAAAGTGACTTAATCTTACACATCTTTACAAGCCAAGTGACTTGGCAGTGTTTTGACGTTTCTTACCCGATATACTGATGAAGAACTTTTAGCCAATTAGTGACTGGTGACAAAACTTGGGTTCATACTGTAACCCCAGAATTTAAAAAGCAGTCAATGGAGTGAAGACACACAGGATTCCAGAAAAGCAAAAATTCAAAACATCAACATCATTTCTTGAAAGCTGTTAGTATTTGCATTTTTGACATTAAAGTAAGTTTTTTTTTTTTTTATATTTCCATTAAAATTCCATTATTTAAAATTCATTATCATTATTATTTTTTCTGATATGGTTCTTAACTTGGCAAAACATCTTTCTTGGCATTTTGGTCACCTTTAAAATTGACAAGCACCCAATTTACAGTATGCCACAATGCTGAAAGCAGCATAGTGAAACAAAATTGGGTTTATCAGCTGTTGGGAAACCAATCTGCCACTGACATCCAGCTCATAAATTATAAGCATCATATGTTGGGATACAAAAGAGATACTAGTTAAATTTCTTCCTGGGGGTGAAACTAACAATCCTTCCCAATACTGCAAGACTTTGAAAAAAAAAAACCTTGATGTGCAGTCCAAAACAAAAGAGGAATGCTTAGTCAAGGAATTTTCTTGCTTCATGACAATGCTTGACCTCATGCTGCTTATGTCATTTAAATTGAGGAATTGGTTGGTAGCCATTCATTCATTCTCTTCCCCTACAGCTCAGACCTGACACCATTTGACTATCATTTATTCCTGCACATGAAGCATCACTTTGGAGGTCAACCTTTTCAAAGGAAGGACATAAAAAATGCTAGTCATCAGTGGCAGGAACTTTCTCTGAGAGAGGTAAGTTAATCATCTGCTATGACAAATGCCTCAACATCAGTGGAAACTCTATAGAAAAATAACTAAAAAAAAATGACCTTTCATGCAAAAATAAAATTGGCTTGAAAAAACATTTGTGGCTTTTTTTTACAAAATGGAGCTCACATCCTGGACACCTTATATTATTATTATTCTCCCCTCACTTAATATTACTCATCATAATTTTTACATATTTTATTATATTCAAACTCACATTATCTTTATGCAATTAAATAAAAGTATATTCCAAAATCAGAGCTTAACTGAACCTTACTCTCTAAATGCTAATAAATTAGTTCTGAAGTCTTCACTCTGATAATCAAGAATATTGTCAGCTCCAAGATTTTGTAGCATTTCCACTGCATCTGTAGAACACGTTACTGTGACATCAGCACCCCAAGCTTTCAGCAACTTAAAAAAAAAAAAAAAAAAAAAAAAAAAGTATTGTGTACTCTTGTATGTATTATTTTTGCTTTTACGCAAGTTATTCATAGCAATTTTAGACACACATAACTTTGTAATTTAGCTTTAAAGTCTTTCTATAAGATTAAAAGACTGTCATGATGCAACATAAGTAAAAATTCAACATGTCAGTTGTAATTCAGTTAATACGTAATATAATCCAACATTTTTATTTAAGCAGCTATATAATTTAACTACTTTTAATAACTTCAGATTTTAAGCCTGATGCTAATATTTATGTAAAAAAATTCCATTATTTTTTTAATACTCATGAATTCTGAAAGAATACTTTTTTGACACATGCTAACAATATACTTATTTATAAGGTCCTGTATAAAGCACTATATTAATAGCTATATAATTGATTGAAATTCTATAAATATTTCATATGCTTTCTCTTAAAAGCATCAAAATAAAATAATCCCTTTTGAGTTAATTGAGTTAATGAACATCTTCTAGCTCCTTTGACAGATGTCATTATTTGTGTTAGCTGTTAACAGCTTCATGTATTAAATGTAAAACTGATTTTCGAGTTTATGTATATAAGAATTTAATCTATTCTGTATTAATTACAAACTTTCAACACTGCAGACCTTGTAAAACAGAACAGAATTCTAGAACAGTTTCTAATACTACATGCCTAACTGTAATTGATTATCAAGCTATGTTCAAAGCTACTTAGATACTTATTGGTTTTTAATGACTAAGTACCATAGTATCAGTGATTAATTGCTAAATAATATAGATAAGCTAAAACCATAATTGAGACCAAGCAATAAGAATTAAAAATTGCTTTTTTCTCTTCTTAAAAAATAGTACTTTTTGAATCAAACTGATACCAAATGGAATTGGTATTTTATTTTCAATTTACCATCATGTGAAAATGAATTGCATTCTTCCAAGAAAGCATTATTTCACCCTCCACCCAAATTTGTAAAAATAGGTATGAAATGAAGTTATTTACCACTGGTAAAGTTATATGGAGATGCAATGCGAAAAACTGTCGAAAAAAGAAAGGTCTTTGTATCAGCAACTATTTTGTTTCTTCCAAAAATCACATTCCTAACAGGGGTTAACTACTACTGCCGATTTATGGTCACTTGAAAAATTAATTAAATTCTTTTTTTTTATTTTCAATAAAATTCCATTATTTAAAATTCATTATTATTATTTTTTATATTATGTTTGAACTTTTCTTTCTTGGCATTTTGACCTATAAAACTGAAAAGTACCAAAATTACAGTATGTCACGATGCTAAATGAAGAAGCACAATGAAACGAAGGTTGGGTTTGCTATTGGGAAACCATTCTGCTACTGACATCTGAATACATACTTACAATATAGTATGTAACTTACATATACAATAACATATTCATATATATATACAATATTATACATATGCATAAAATTACATATATGTAAGATTAAAAAATATGTAAATCAAAATTATAATTTATACTAGCAATAGCCTCTAATTATCCCTATCTATTCTAAAAATAGTAATGCCTTTTTCTGGACTTCATCTTTCTAGGATCAAGCCATATCATATAACTTGCATAATGTCATCAGACATAGTCAATTTGGAATTTGAACTCAAAATTTTGAACAAATTCAAAATTTTGAAATGGAACTTTTTTCCTGGTAAGCTCTTCTATACTGGAAAGCTGCATATCTTTAACTTCTACCTCTCTTCCCATTAAGATGCTATTTCGCTGCACTCTTTTCCTATCACAACAGTGTCAAAAATGTAAATGTTCTTGATTAGATATGATAAGAATACCAAGTAAATTGTGGCTGAAAGTGACAAATGAATATTGAGATGAATATTAAATCTGCCTTGACTGACAAGTTTGCTGTTCTTATTGGATTCAACCTTCTACGTTCTACACCATCAACACTGCTTTTTTTCATTACAAACATATACACTGCACACATAACTCTCATATACAATACAATAGTTCTACTTTAACAACAGCTGCTATCATTTTTGGGTTGTCAGCACATATTTTTGTACATATGTATTGATATTCAAGATCTAATTTCCAAATCAACTTTTTTTATCAATATGTAAAAGAAATCCACATACCTGTACAGCAAAAGTACCAACACCACCTGATGCACCAGTCACAAGAACTCTGAAAAAAATGGAAAAATTGATTTAATCACAATAAAAGTTTATTTTTATAATCATACAATGAAGAATTGTACAAAAAATGTATTATTAAATATATAGTAAATTATAAAGAGAAATTAAATAAATAATATAAATAGAAGTAATAAATCAGATTTTGCTGGCTTTTATAAATTACTCTTAAAAGCCCATGAGTAGAAAAGAATAACAAAGGAATTACGTGGGAGGAAGAAACTGATGTAAAGAAATGAATTCTTTGTATTTTCTTTCTTTTCTTTTCTTTTCTTTTTTTTTACACTGGGGAACAATTTGTAACATAATTTCTGTTGAGTTCAATTTTTGAGTTGTTTTAGAGTTAAATAGACATGCTGATTTCAGAACTGTGGATAGTTTTCTTCCTATCATATCAATTTTTTTCTGTGCACCTTATTATGTGAATGTGACCACTCTCTGTTGCATTGAGCATGGATCATAGGAAGTACTACTGCACTTCTATTGTCTGACATAAACCCTCCAACAGATGTCGCATGAATGACAGTGCAGGAGACCAGCGACAAGTGCATACTTGTTTGGACTAGTTCAGTTATGGCTGAGATATTGTAGAGAGACATTCTGTTTCGCTCTGATAAGTGCATTCTAACATGGACTCAGAGTTCTTGTTTGCATACGAGGTTAGCAGTGTTTAGTTTTTAGTTATGTATGGACTGAGACTTTTCCTTATGTCTGCCCCTGGTATTTCGCATTGAATAAACTTAAGCAGCTCCAATTTGTTTTGTTATATATGTGTCAGTTTTACCATTTCTATTCAAAAGACAAACATCAGTATATTTGTCAGGCAGAACTATTTTACTCTCAAAGTGCACAAGTAGTGTGTCAAGAGTTTATGTATGCCGATAAAGAGAAGACATTCTAAATTTCCACTTGGTATATACCTATGACTTGATCACTCCAGTGATTGTTACTTTTGTATAGTGAAGTCAGGATATAACAAGAAAAACAAATGTAAAATAGAGTATCCTGGTTTACCATCAGGCTATATGCTCAGTGTTTCACTCAGCTGAACTTTCAGTGCCAGTTTTCGAAAAGTTACTTTCTTTGGGAATACAAGAATATGATTCCGGTGAATATCAAATTGACCCCAAAGTTGAATATTTTAAACTGAAAATGATTCTTTCCATAAGAGATTTGACCAACATAAGAATGATTTGGCTCAAGATTTGGAATGAACCAAGAAAGCTTCAGAGCTGTTAGCATCAAGATTGCATGAGAAAAACTTGCTTGAAAAAGGAGCTAAGTTATCCTACTTTCGATAAAAAGAAGGTGCATTTCTGCAATATTTTGGAAGTGGTGATAGATTTGTGTATTGCCATAACATATATGGTTTAATGAAAAAATTCAGAACTTCAGCCTATAATAAAACTCAATGCCCACTGTTAATCGATAGCTCAAAGCTGAGCTTGAAGTGTGTAATCCACCACAATGGAAATTTATTTGGTGCAATTCCAATATGTCAATCAATTTGTGTGAAGAGACCACCAAAGTGGATATACCAGTATCCCTGCTTCTTGGGTGTGTGGGATAGCAGAGCTCATGAGAAATATTGGGTGCAATCAAACTGGCCACCAAAATCTGAGCTGAAACTTGGTGATACAAATATTTTACATCAGCCAGTTGCCGACAGAAAAAACATAACACTTCCACCTCTGCATATAAAACTGGATCTGGAGAAGCAATTTTTTAGAGTTTTGACAACTGAAGAGGACTGTTTCAAGTACCTCATTTCGGCATTTCCTAGCCTGTCATTTGAAAAGATGAAGGCCAGTGTGTTTACTAGTTTACAGATTCAGCAGCTTTTTAAAGAAGAAAACATTTCAGCAGAATAATGACAGAACATCAAAAGAATGCTTGGTTGGCATTAAAAAACATTGTCAAAGACTTTATTGGAAATACACGAACACAGAATTACAGCAAAATTGTCCAGCAACTTTTGGAAAGCTTCAAAACGCTTGGTTGCAACATGAACATCAAACTGCATTTTTTACATAGCCATCTTGGTAACTTCCTAAAAAATTTTGGTGCAGTCAGCGATGAGCAAGGTGAGTGATTCCACCAAGATTTGAAGGTTATGGAGGCATGGTACCAGGCAGACAATATGTACATATCTGACAAAAGTTGGAGCATCAAGCGAGAATGTTTTCAAACGAAATAACTACAGAAAAAGCACAAACAAAAATATTCTCATTAATATGTATGTTTAACCATTTGGTTTAGGGGGAAAAAATTCACTATTTTGTATGAGCAAAATTTAGTTTGCAGTAACAATATATAGTATAGTATGAATAAAACTATTCTTTGTGAACAGTATATTTAGAAAGTTTTCCCTTTATATGCATATTTTGTATGACTTTTGAGACAAAGAAGAGGTATCTTGTAGTTCAAAAAGTTGACACAATAGACAAAAGCTGAGATTATTTTTGGATTCAGAAGCCAAAAGTTAGTAAAATAAAGTGAAGATCTAAAACAGCAAAAGTGCTGTTCCTCAGCGTTATCAACTCATATTACTTTGAACTCTCATTTTTAGATGAAATGAGCAGTTCATCTATCTTGGAAAGTAGTTTCAAAGTAGTCCGATTCAAAATAATAGTTTATACAGTACAAAGTCCAAGATCTTGAATGACCTAAAATCCAAATATCAAAGCCACCACCACCGTTTTTTTTTTTTTTTTTTTTTTTTTATGCTTTACGCATAAACATTTGATTCCCCTCCCATGCACATAAGAAAACATTACCACAGGCCAAAAGATTACATTTAGGGCTATTTGAATTAAGAATAACTGATTTGTTATTCACATAAACCAGAAACAGCGCCAGGGCTCGTATGGCCACATCAGGTGGCAGAATTTAGGGAAGGCACTTGGTAGCAGAATATAGAACCCACAGAAACTGCATCTAGCATCGACCCTCTTTAAGTATATGTGGGAATTTATTTATTCAATACTCAGCTAAGCCTTAAGCATTTGCAATGATACATAGCCATCTCATGATAGATAGCCAAATATGTATAGTGAACAAGATAGCTAAATTTTATGATGATAGCTGCGAATTTTAAAGATTTTCGGATATCGCAAACCAAAGGTGAAATTTTCCAGTTAACGGATTTTGTAAAGAAATGTGGAGAAGCGGTAATAAAATGAATATGATATAAAAGAAGTTTTTCATTGTGATGAGAATGCTCCTTAATCATCAGTCAATTAATGGATGGCAAAATCTGTAGTATAGTTCTAAATCCAGAAAATACCGCTACCGATAGTGAAGAAAGTGACAGAGAGGTTACTGAAAACGAAAAACATTCGATTGACAAGTTAGTTGGAATTATCCACACAGCATTTATAGAACTTCAAAAATGTAACTGAACAAGAAATTATGTCTGTCTACAGAATTAAAGAGAAATTATTAGCACAAAAAAACGAAGTAACTTAAACAACTAACATTGAAAGAAATGTTTAAACAAATAAATATTAAGCTTTTTTTTTTATAAATTTTGATACCCTATAGATCATAAATGTTTATTCTTTCATAAGTAACGATTTCATATTTTTAATTTTACAATTTTTGCATGCCATCCTTACTAGATTTAAACTGATGATCTAATATCCGAAAAAATCTCAAATCCAGAATTACCGAAGTCCCGACGAGTCCGGATCTCGAACTTTGTACTGTATCACTAAAATTGAAAATACACATATTTGAATACAAAAGAATTGAAAAAGTATACATTTGTCACAGTAAATTAATTCTTGTTTGAAAATAGACAGAAGATTTTGCATCAAGATATGCATTATTTGATAACCATTTTTTGTTAAAAATGGTACTTTCTGACTTTCTGCACCCCTATCGAAAATGTATGAACGCATTGCTGATTAACTTTTGACTAAGATAATGAATGAAAAGCAACAGACATTTTCAGAATGGTGCTAAACTGAGAATTTCACACAAGTGCAATTGATTAATAAAATTGAAAATGCAAGAAACATTGCATATTAAACAGTTATTTATTTATTTTTTCCTTTTTTTATTTATTTCTTTCCATTTTTTTGGTACTGTTGTTCTTTTTATGCATAGAGTGATTTGTTTTTACTTAAAAAAAAAAAGATCAGAAACTTGTGTAAATTCACCATTGTACAACATCAGCATTGGACACCAGCCACAACATACACATCCTATATGTACACCTGGGTTACCACATAAATGCTTTTGGGTTACATTCTGGGTTGCCATAAAACTAGCTTGGCAACATACAATTTTGCCCTAAGAATATTTTTCTTTGCAACTTTTTGGTGTATGTGAATGGGGGAAATCTAAAAATAACTTAAAATACTAGTAGATATTTTTAGCACAAGCATTAATCAGTGCAATGTGAGTTACATACAAAATGTTTTACTTCAACTGATACTTGATATCAATGTCCTTTTGGTTCATGGCACAATATCATCATACTTCCTATTCATGGCACACTATTATATATTTTCTCATCAGATTAGTCTTTCTTGAGGCACAGCTGTGAAATTTCATAGCATGTCCTTTAAGAACCAAAGTATTAAAATATTTCTGTTTTGCAAAATTCAGATTGTTAGGTACTTGAGTTACAACTGCCAAAAATGTTCTCAAAATTATGAAAATTTTGTATTCTTAGCAATGCACACATACATATTTTATCTCTGGCATAAAACACAGTAAACCTATGAAATTTGTTTCTTATTATTTTATGCAAAATCTTCAAGCAATACGTACTTCAGTATTTAAAATATCATTCAAATCAATAGCCACTGCAGTATTTAAAATATCATTATATACCTTTTAACATACTTAAAGTTAAGTTTATCACACAGATCATTAATTAAGATAAATAATAAGGAAAATGTGATTTAAGCTGCAATATATGAAGGAATTAAGACATCTGTTTAAACATCCAGCAAAAACTGAGTCTTAGAACTTCAGTACATG